GTACTGATCTTTCCTTTTGGTTAATTCCTCTTAAAAGAGGTTAAAGACAACAGCCATCTGTTTCTGCTCTATTCTATTGCTGAATAACTTTGGGGCTTGTTTTGGAACATGTTTGGGATAAACCGGATAATGCCACTTACTGTAAAGGAAAGTAAGAGCTGACGAAGACAATTCCAGCATACATCTGTTGGGTTTTATGGAAAGAAAGGAACCAGATATGCATTGTGGGAAAAGCCAACTGCTCTACATATTCTGAAATATGTATTTGAGCTTGTTAGCTCTCTGGTGTGACCTGAAAATGTATACGAGGTAGATAGGACAATAGACTTTATTAGCTCAATACATTATAATTTATAGGTATGTGTCTTTTTAATGATGGCGATATGTATTGAGCTAATTGAAAGGAATGAAGATTCATATTGCCAACCCCAACTTGTTTAGGAATGAGGCATAGTTGTTGTTATCGTCGTCTTTGGAGGGGATACCCCCTTTTTCTAACTACCATCACTATCTTAGCGTTAACTATTCTTACAAATAATTTTTTTTACTTATTAATAAGAAACAACACAGCAGCTACTATCCTCAAAATATCTTATATGCATTTCCAGCAACAATGGCCACATTCTACATCATTAAGTAGTGTTCTACAGATTTTCTTGAACATACGTTCACGATCTTCTGACATCTGCATTCTACATGTATGAAATTCTACCAAACACCTTAGTGCTATATAAACTAGAGAAATCATGCACTTGGATGCATGACAAACTAATCATATACTTTCATGTACAATCTTTCAATCTATGTTCAAGATCTACCAAACTGGTACCAAAGAATATGGATAAGTACTGCCCTTTCTGCAATACCATATTTTCATGGCTGACGAGTCGTGTAATCCATACTACGCCAATTCACAGGCATGTAATAAAGATGAAAACTTTTCCACTCAACTAATATTGAAATACCATAGTTTCACCAGTGTCTCACTACTAATTATAAGAAGTCATCAAAGCAAATTGAGAATCAATGTAAGAGACACAAAAAAAAAAGCTCAACCCCACTAAGCTCCTAATATACAACACATATTTCCCTGTGTCCGAGCTGGACCATTAGATTGGTAACAGGGAAAATTGTTTTAGCTGATGCAAACACAATAAAACTATTAAGTAAGAAATTGGAAAGAAGCAAACCTCCGAAACCCCATCCTACTCCAAAACCGCAACCAATGCCAGCACCTAAACACAATATCCAATTTTTGTTATTTTTTGCATCAGTACATGAAAGTATACAAAAGTAAAGAAAGACAAGAACTAAAGTCAATCGGCAAGTGAAGATTTATCGTACCGAAACCTACACCAGTACCATTGAAGTTGGTCATCACCATCGCTACCCGTCGACCGAAGTACCAATCGGTGGAAGATTGGGAGCAGTGTCACTGTGCGAGTCCGTACCACCAGGGCCGGTTTGGGCTTGGAATAAAGCCCGTTTATACAAGGCCCAGTGTTATTCTCTTTGGTATTTAATCACAATACCCATTGTGATATTTTAGAGAAAATGACAAAAATAAGTTGAAAATAATTTCTTAAATATGATTTTGAGAAATATTTACCTTTTAAGTTTATAAGAAATGAGTACTTTGATATTTGTACATTTAATAAAATTTATGTTAGATTTAACGAGTGAAAATAATAATTGAAAAACTAAGAAAATCTTGTCAAATCCCAAAATTTTACAATAAAATCGAACAAAATATCAGAAATAGACAAAGAATAGTATTCCAGAAAAAATGCATCAGACACAATTACACAAAAAATAAATCAATGTATTCCTTTTGTCCGTCTGGTTCTCTTTTACGAGTCCCTTACAAATATTAATTACGAGAGGTTTTTAACTGTTTTACCCTTATTTATGTCTTAAGATATAATCTTATTTCATTTGATATTTATTTTATGTATTTTTAATCTTCAAGAGCAATTAAAGTAGAAAATAAATAATTAATTTATAGCCTGTTTGGCCAAACTTTTTTTGGGGCCAAAAGTATTTTTTTTTTTTTGTGGCTAAAAACACTTTTGGCCAAAAATTTAGGTGTTTGGCCAAGCTTTTGGAAGGAAAAAAAAGTGCTTTTGAGGAGAAGCAGAAGCAATGTTTGAGAAGCAAAAAGTAGCTTCTCTCCAAAAGCACTTTTCTGAGAAGCACTTTTGAGAAAAATACACTTAGAAGCAGTTTTCAAAAGCTTGGCCAAATACTAAGTACTGCTCAAAAATGCCTTTTAAAATAATTAGCCAAACACAAACTGCTTCTCACCAAAAGCACTTTTTTAAAAAGTACTTTGAGAAAAGCACTTCACAAAATAAGCTGATTTTAGAAGCTTGGCCAAACATGCTATTAGTCTTAGAGCAACAACAACAACTATAACAAACCCAGTGTAATTCCACAAATGGGGTCTGGGTAAGGTCTACATCTTACCTCTACCCTGAGCAGCTAGAAAGGCTGTTTCCGATAGACCCTTGAAAAAATAATTAATTTAGTCTTGAACTTCTAAAATGACAAATAATTTGAGACAACTATTTTTGAAAACCATGACAGATAATTTGAAACGGGGGAGTAGCATAAATGACAAAAGCTATACCTCTAAATATGAGTTCCCATTGATTTTATTTTTATAGTTTGTCGTTAAATCTAACAATCATAATTTCTTAAAATTAAGGGGATGTTATAAATATATTATATTATGGATGTTCATTTAATACTTCGTTGTAAATAAGCTTCCTGAAGAAGCTTATCCATATGGGACTCCGCCGTAAATATGTTTATCTATTGAGTACACTATTGAAAATAAGCTTCCTGAAGAAGCTTATCACTTCGGTACCCGGTTATGGATAAATATTACCTCCGGTAGAAGATTATCCATACCGGGTATAATAAGCTTATCACTTCGGTACCCGATTATAGATAAACATTATCCCCGGTAGAAGATTATCATTAATATGATCCTCACTTAGAAGATAATTCAAGTCAAATGCCAGAAGCATTTGCTGATCCAAAATCAAATATCATATTTCAGCTGCAAATGCTCCTATTAAAATTTAAAGTCCCTGAAGGATAGAGTTTACTGTACGCATGAAGCGTGGTAGACCAATCGGTTCCAAAGGTAACAATCCTTGAAAAATGATAAGGAGCTAATGATCAAAATGATCATAATGAGGAGGAAATGAGCTCTAGAAGAGCCTACGACATAACATTTCACGAAACTCCAGAAGAAGTTCAGGTGCCTGAAAATAAAGAAAGTGATGAGATCTCAACAAGTTATGTCGCTTAGGAACCGATACAAAAATGATCGTCGACGATATATTTGATACAATATAGTGCACAATACTGTGAAATATTATGAGGATCGGACCAGTAGTCCAGACACCTGAAGATGTCATGCCATTTAAATGCGAGTCGTAATCTATATGACTCATTTGATTAAATATCTATAAAGATCCCTGAAGAATTTAAAATTCCTGAAGCATGTAGTTCAAAGTCTCGGAAAATGTACTCGATCAGATTATAAAGATCTTTGTACGGTTTAAATCAATCTGGGCGCATGTGATATAATTGCCTCAGTGAATATTTGCTGAAAGAAAGTTACATAAATGATGTTATTTGTTCATGTATTTTTATAATGAAAATGTCATCAGAATTTGTTACACTTGCTGTTTACGTTGATGACATAAATCTTGTTGGAACACCGAAGAGCTCCAAAGGCAATGGAATATCTTAAGAAAGAATTTAAGATGAAAGATCTTGGAAAAATAATCTGCAAATTAAATATTTAGCAGACGAGATCTTTATCCATCAATTTGCCTATATAGAAAGGGTCTTTAAACGCTTTTACATGGACAAAGGGCACCCATTAAGTACACCAATGGGTGTTCGATCACTTGAAGTAAATAAGGACACGTTCCGACCTCCAGAAGAGGATGAGGAACTCGTTGGTCCTGAAATACTCTATCTCAGTGCAATTGCTATGCACTTATGTATCTTGCTAATGCTAACAAAGGTGGTGCAGATCGTATTGGTTATGCAGATACAGATTAGAATGCAGAGACTCAAATATTTGAAACAAGGTTTTCATCAGGGGGAGTAAAATACGCGATGCACTCTTTTTCCTTATTAAGGTTTTTTCCCACAGGGTTTTTCTTATAAGGTTTTTAATGAGGAACCTAGCAATGCGTATTACTATATATGTGTACTCTTTTTCCTTCACTAGAATTTTTTCCCACGGGGTTTTTCCTAGTAAGGTTTTAATGAGGCACATTATCTTTTAATGAACATCTAAGGGGGAGTGTTATAAATATATTATATTATGGATGTTCATTTAATACTCCGTTGTAAATAAGCTTCCTGAAGAAGCTTATCCATATGGGACTCCGCCGTAAATATGTTTATCTATTGAGTACACTATTGGAAATAAGCTTCCTGAAGAAGCTTATCACTTCGGTACCCGGTTATGGATAAACATTACCTCCGGCAGAAGATTATTCATACCGGGTATAATAAGCTTATCACTTCGGTACCCGGTTATAGATAAACATTATCCCCGGTAGAAGATTATCCATACCGGGTACAATGAGCTTATCCTTTCAGTACTCCGTTATGGATAATCATTGCCCCTGGTAGAAGATTATCCATATCTGGTATAATAGCAGCTTACACAACAGCTTGCAGTAACAGCTTACACAGCAGCTTGCAGTAGCAGCTTACACAGCAGCTTGCAGTAGCAGCTCGCACAACAGCTTGCAGTAGCAGCTTACACATCAGCTTCCTTTCTTCTATAAATAAAAAAGATTTCAGTTCATTATGTACATCAGTTTGAATTCGAATAATATATGAGTTTTTCTCTATACTTGTTTTTACTTTACAGTCTTTAGTTTTATAACAGGGGACAAATAGTTGTTCAAATCTATTTAACAGACTAAATTGGATCTACTCAAAACATAAGGGACCATTTTTAGAATTGGACCTTGATCTTTTCTAAAATACGAAGCCTCAAAGTTGAGCTGCAGCAGTCAAGAACATCAGGAGGCAATGATCGAGCTACCTCTCCATGGCTTTCCTCTTCCACAAATTTCAAGAGGTTCTCTCTCCCCTCCCCCTCCTACCTCCCCCCCCCCCCCAAAAAAAAAAAATTATGTTACTTGCTTCTGTATTGTTTCTTCTTCATTTCTTTGCTCTCTCGTTCTTTGTGAATGACCATCTTGAGGTCATTTATAATGTGGGGTTGCTTATGGAATTGACACAATTAATTGTATAAAGTTGAATTCTTTTTGCTGCGGGACACAATTTTCAGGCGGTGAAAATTCTTGCTAAAAGCCCCACATTCGCCAGAGCTAGAGAGGCAAGGCATCTTCAGTTTGAAGCTGACATAAATCTCCTCTTCCTGTATACTAGGTAAGATTTATTTACTTATTGCAAGTGAAAGGAAAAGGGGGGGAATGGGGGTGGGTGTACAAATTGAAAATAGTTAAATTGGCTAGTTGCTATATATTTGTCATTGCAGTGCAATTATATAGCTGTATAAGCATTTCATTTAAGTAGGCGTTTGGACATGAATTGGTTCTTGGTTTATCATTGTGTTGAAATTCTTGAAGTAGGTAGGCGATTGGACATAAAAAATGTAATTTTTGAAAAAAAGTAGTATTTGGAGTTAAGTTAGAAAAATAGTATTTTGAACTTGAAATTATGTTTGAACATGCGTTTCACTTGAAAAAATGTTGCAGTTTTGTGAGTAAGGAAACAAAAATTTCTGAAAATTGTGAAAAAGTGATCAAAACCACTTTTTGGTTATTTCTAAAAACTTGCAAAATTTTGATGAACACACACATTTTTTAAATAAAAAATCGAAAAAAGGAAAAAATATCTATGGACAAACGGGTCCACTAGTGTATTTTAAGCCTTATTTTGAAATCTTTAGTGGTGAAGTTAAATGTATCTTTTTGAATAGTTGAACTTGAACCTACTGTAGTTTCGTCTTGCCATGATAAACTTTACTTTCAGTTACAACCGTTTAGGAAGGAATGCTGATGAAGCTGATGCAGAGGAGATTATCGATATGGCTAACAAGGCCTCCTTAGCTGATCAACGGAAGCAGGTCCATGAGAATGTGCATTCTCAAGTCACAAGCTTTTGCGGATATATGAATGACATATTACTCCCTGATCATAAGTTCAAAGACAATCAGGCCACATCACCTACAACAACAAGTTCTTCTCCTGAAAACAGTGGGCTCGGGGTTGCTGTTGGTCAGAATTCTCCACTACAAGTCGACACTGGTAAGAATCCCCTGCATATTACTTAAATATTCCGTGCAATTCTTCGTTGTTGTGTTGTGGAAACTTGTTTGGAATTTTGACTGGCACCCTACTTCAGTGTTTGCAACCATTGGATGTCCTGCTTCTTCTTTGTCATGACATTACTTTACCTTGCTTCATGCTGTCATTCAACTTCTTTGGCTGTATATATCCAGTATATATCTGGGATTAACGTTAGTGCTACTACTTTATCCGGTCATTCTTAAATTAAACACCATTAGCCTTCAGCCATTGTTGACAACATTTTTTCTATTGAGATAGAAGCTGAAATATTACTCCTGCCTCTTGTCTCATGTGGCCGGTAATCAATGAGTTACTTGAGATTTCTGGTGTAGACTATCACTAAATTTTGTAGAAGTTGATCAAGTATCTAGAGTTTGTAAGATGGATATGCACTTCTTTATACAAACAGAAGGAGGAATAGCACAACTTAAATCTGGATTCATTAATGGGAGGTAATGCCTCAAAAGTGAAACTTTTCTTCTTCACTTATCTTTTCGGGAACTATTCAGTATGCTCTACTTTGTGCACATCTCCACATGGATTAGGTAGATCACATCTAACGCTCAGCTTAGCTATTGAGAGCTAGACATGAATTGCTTTAGGAATGGAGCAACTATTCCAGTTGAATGTTACTTCAACTGTTTCATTTCATTTTGGGAGGGGCGAATTTTCATTATTATTTTTCCTTCGAATCATTTATTATAAAACATGATTTGTAATGAAGTTGATGGACAGCTCTAGTGGTGTAAAAATTTAAGCCTTTGCAACATAGGCAATAACATAAAATTACATATCATGAGACTCTATGGTGGTTTTGCAGAAATTATATTTTATCTGTTCATTGCAGTGGCTTCATAGCTGCATCGCCCTGGATTTTGATTACTGATAAAATTTTCAGCACAGCTGTACCTGAAACCAAGGCATTGCAGCGCGCAGAGGTTTCACAGAGGTTAAAGGATCTTATGGGCTACACTCTCGAGGTCAAACCGTCTCAAATTCCTCATGAGGATGCTGGGAAAGGTTTATTCTTACATGGTGAGGCCAATATTGGTTCTGTCGTAACATTTTATCCTGGGGTAGTTTACTCTCCAGCCTCTTACCCTAGAATTGATGCCCAAAATTCACATTTGATCACACGGTATGATGGGACTGTGATCAATGCACAGCCTTGGGGTGTTGGTGGCGAATCTCGTGAAATATGGGATTGGACTCGTCTTGCCGAACCTAAGCACACGATGCAACCTGATGCAAAAGGTTCTGATGGAGTTGAGAGGATGCTCAGCAAGCCATTGGATGAAACACATGTTGGAGGTAACCGCGAAGTGTTGGAAAGGAGAAACCCTCTAGCCTTTGCTCATTTCGCCAACCACCCGGCAAAAGGCATGGTTCCTAATGTAATGGTATGCCCTTATGATTTTCCCCTCCTTGAGAAGGACATGAGAGCCTATATACCTAATGTTTCATTTGGGAATGGTGAAGAAACAGACACGAGGAGATTAGGCAGCTTTAGGTTCAAACCGTGGAAGTCCAGCAATAATGAACCAGATGTCCCTGTACTGAGGACACTTGTTTTTGTGGCTACTAGAGCAATTTGTGATGAAGAGGTTCTGCTGAACTACAGACTGAGCAACTCAGAGCACATACCGTCGTGGTACACTCCAGTAGAAGAAGAGGATTGAAGGAGGTGGACCTAAGATCATTATGATCGACACATGTTGAAGTTTCAAACATATATAAACAAGCAGGTTTAATTTACCATTGCTCAGGCCAAGACAGAATGAAGGCATTAATTTTGGTGAGAGTATCTAAATCCCCTTTCAGTTTTCATGCTTTTGAAAGCTTTAACTAGTACTAACATTTATAGCTGACAAAGGAATTTTGTCAAGAAATTGTCTTGCTGATTCCAGATAGAGTTGAACTTTGCCACATCACGACGAATGGTTATATTTTCCCTTAGTTACAGAATAAGGCAGGAAAAGGAATGCGTCTTAGTTGAAATTATGCACTTGTGACTGTTGTGATAGTCAATAGCATGCTCTTTTTGTGCTTCATTATCCAATTAAGAGTCAGGAGTCATGACTTATACTTTGAGACAGTCTGTTGTGAACTTTCGTTGAAGCACGGCGTTTTATGTTCGTTTATTTGAAAGACAAATGGTAGATTGAAAAATTTCTACTGCAAGAAAATACTACCTAGTTTTACTTTAAATTGGTCAGAACTAGTTTTGAATCATGATACACATGCAAAATACTGGAGTGTTTCTTTTTCCTTTTTCTTGTCGTAAATTTTATACTTTTTAAAACAGAAATGAAGTCAACCTTTCTATTTATTTGTGTGCATTACTGTGATAGATCAAACAACTATTCTCTGGAATCTATCTATATCTATATCTATATCCATATCTATCTATCTATATATTATTATAAAAGCACGAATACGATGTCGGTTGACCAAAATAGCCCTAAAATACATAAAATTATAGGTTATTTTGGTAAAAACAGGATAGAAATAGAGTTCTAATTAAGTACTGCTTCTTGATTTTGGTATCTAAAGATGTGCTACTAATAATCTAATTAGAAAAGCACATCCTAATTTTACGAAACTTAACTATTCTCAAGTATCCATTACATCTTTCACCCAAGTTGATTTGTATTTTCTTTAAAAATTAGAACTTAAGGTCGATACAAATTTATCATGTTGTCCAGCGTTATTGTCAGCTCCTACGCTATTAATGAGCTTTGTTAAGATTTAGTTTTGGTTATGCATAAGTTATCATGTATCTCCTTTGCTTTATTTTCTCTTTTTGAATCGACCAAATTATGGATTTTAAGGAGAAAGTCTAGAACTATCAGGTGAATTTTTTTTAATCTGGTTTTATATTTCATTCTTCTAAAGCTCAAGTGATTTTGAGTTTGGCACGGGCGATGTTGTGGAGGTTAATGGGTTTTTTGAAAAAGAAACTGGGTTATTTTTTTAACGGAAAAGGGTCTAATATATCCCTCTACTATTAGAAATTGTTTAAAATTACCCTCCGTTATACTATTGGATCAAAAGAACCCCTATCGTCTTACTATCCAAACAAATATTAAGACGGCAGGGGTTCTTTTGATCCAATAGTATAACGGAGGATAATTCTACACAATTTTTAATAGTATATGGATATATCAGACCCTTATCCGTTTTTTTTAAATATGGTAGCTTTCCGTTAGGTGGAGGATATTTTTAAAAAGTTTGGTTAATGATAAGGATATAGATGTGACCAATAGTATAACGGAGAGTAGATGTCAATAATATACCAAAGTAGAGAAGTATATTTGGCCCGCCAGCACCCATTATCTTTGACCATGTATAGTAAATTTGCATAGGCAATTATAAAATTATGTATATAAATAATGAGTGAGCACCCACAATTAAACTCATTTTTTCTCTTTGTTTTGGAATTCTTATCGATCGGCACCCATGGCTTTACAATCCTGAATCCGCCACTGCCTTATCCCTACTATATATTATCATCATTGGCATAAGTCCTTGCTCCTTATGTTTGTGATGATAATTGTGGTCTAGCTGACACTATTTTTTCCATTATGCAGTTAGGCTTTACCCGACGAAAATTTTATCTGCCATGTTCCTCTTAAATTTACTTTTATCTTATATCTTTTTTCCTCTTTTTTATTTATCATAGATTTAAATCTAATAACTAACTTTAGATTGGTTAAATTGTGAAAATAATAGATTTGAATCAAATTTCAATATGAATTGCTTTCAGAGATGTCATCGATTACTATTAAAAATCTAACATTTTGAATGTAATAGTGATAATAAAAAATATATATTATGAATTAGCCACAAATATGATGTCTTTAATATCTTCATAAAATATAAGTTGCATGAAATTTGCTTAGTATTCACTATTAATCTAAGTATAATTATATTGTACACTTTTAATTTTATTCTCCTACTTTACATATCTCTCTTCTTCGTTGGGGTGCTACCTGTGAACACGTACATAGAAATTAATACTTTTAAAATATACTGGTATGGATTAGATAAAAGAGTGGGTTAGTTAATATGAACGTTTCATGAAATCAAGCGTACTTTTCTGGTTACAATTATTCACATATCCTACATTATCTATTAGTTGCATATGTTATTGAAGACTTCTAATATCTACTCTCTTATGTTAGCATTCTAATTTTTCATCTTTTTCTTCTCATTGCTAAAGTACTACGTGTGAAACACGTACGTAGAAACTAGTTATTATTAAACGTGTCGTCACGGATTAAATATGGAATGCCAGGTGTAAGCATTATCAAAACAATGAGAGACAAGAATGGACCACAATTTCTTCCAAGTAATGTTATTTATTCCAGTACTCGTTTGCGAGTTCAATATTACAATTTATTGCATCTTTACCACAAATTATGTCAATTATTATTCATACACTCAAAAAGAAAGATTTAAATAATTTGGAAAAGCACAAAAGTCAGACGTTGCGTCTACAATGTTGATATATACCACTATGTTCTTGGTGAAAACCCGCCTCACTTAACGTCCAAATAATTAAACTCCACTTTCGACGGAGAATTAAGGTGAAAAGGTGGGTGACATTATCATATTCAATTTGAAAAAGCTAAGCTTGAAATTTACATGTGCATGAGTTATAGATATAGGCTTCCACAAAACGTTCAATTTCCATGTTATTTGTTCAAAGTAGAAGCTGGCTCGAGCTCAGCTTGAGCTGCAATGGAGGTTGGAGAGAGAGAACATTCGAGAAGAAAGAAAGTGCAAGGCTGGGAAATGAACCTCACGTGTTATTGATACCTGTAATGAATATATACATAATGTCTTATCTAATTAACAGAATGTCTGGCATAGCCACTTTGCATCTAACTAACCACTTTGCAACTAACTAGCCATTTTACATAATTAGGTAATCTCAATACCCCCCTCAAGTTGGTGATATAGAGAACACTGCCAACTTGTGCAAGGCTGCTGAATGCTTGACTCCTGCCAGGGCCTTTGTTAGCACATCTGCAAGCTGGTCTATAGTTCCCACATGATGTAGTGAAATCAATCCCTCTTGTAGCTTACTTTTCGCAAAGTGACAGTCAACTTCTATATGTTTGGTTCTCTCATGGAACACAGGGTTTCTGGCTATGTGCATGGCAGACTGACTGTCACAAAACACTACAATGGGCTTGGGAAAAAGGGCTGCGAGTTCTTCAAACAATCTACTGAGCCACACCAGTTCTCCTGCTACCTTCCTTAAGGCTCTGTATTTTGCTTCTGCAGAGGACAAAGAGATAGTGTCCTGCTTCTTGGACTTCCAACTAACTGGACTGCTGCCCATCAACACAAGGTAACCACTTACAGATTTTCTGGAGTCTGGGCATGCTGCCCAATCAGAGTCACAATATGCTCTGATTGTATAGTCTGGATCCTTATACAAGAATATGCATAAGGTGGGATCCCCTTTTAAGTATCTGAGCAGATGAAAGGGTGCTTTTAGATGAGGTTCTCTGGGTCATCCATGAATTGGCTCAAGTGTTGCACACTGTAAGCTATATCTAGTCTGGTGTTGGTGAGGAAATTGAACAACCCTACCAATTTTCTATAGAAAGTAGGATCTATTAATGTTTCTCATTCCTTAGCTTTGAGCTTAACAGTAGGGTCCAGTGGAGAGTTGAAGCTGCTATAATCCATGCACTGGTATTCCTTCAACAGATCAAGAGTGAACTTTCTCTGGGATATTATTACACCATCATCTTTGTAAAGAACCTCCAGTCCCAAGAAGTAGTGTAGCCTCACCAAATCCTTTATTTTGAAGCTGTTGTTCAAGAATGATTTTAAATCTTCAATCTGTTAGTTATAAGTTTCAATGATGAAAAATAATATATTACATTTGATGTAGGATCACAAAGAATAAAGGGAATAAAGAAGTAGCATTGGTCAGGAATAGATCAAGGAACATAATCAATGATCAGCGATAAAAGAAGGAAGAAGCAGTGAAGATCCGGCAATCAAAGATTGACGGAAGCCAACAAGGAAAAAAAATCAATGATCAGCAAGGAAGAAGTAGCGGAAATCTGGTAAGAGAAATCAATTAGAGATCGACGGAAGCTATTACTGGAAGGCCCCAAAATCAAAGGGAATCGAGATCACTGAAAATCAATAAAAGCGGAAATCAAGGGATCCAGAGGATATGCCTAGAGGATAGAAAGCTCATCAAAGCTATTAATCAAGGAAGATCACCGGGAACTTGACCTTATTCTTGAAAAGAATCAATCTATGATTCCTTTCAAGGATAAACTCCCTTGGGTTTGCAATCTCTCAAGGTTCTTGAAGGCCTCATGGAAAGTATATATACAGATGCTTTTGACGTGACAACATATACTTTGATCGAACCATCTACCCTCTTTTTGTTCTACTCCAAACAAACATTGTAGTTTCTTTAGATCTGCTGTGTAACTAGTGAGAGAAGAAAAAGAGATAAACACTGGTGCGCCATTGTATCAAGAAAAGAAAAGAGACATGGAGACTAAGCTATTGGTGTAAAGCTACGCCATTCATTCTGTACTCAAGAAACATCGATCACTGAAAGAGAACACCCTTGCAACCCAAGGGGACTAGACTAGGATTTATATTGAATCCGAACCAGTATAAAAATTTCGGTATCTTTATTTCCTGCATTTTATTTCTGCATTTATTATCATCCTGTTCTTATTTCAAGTCGACTAATTGGTAAACTAGTCAACTACTTATAAAAGTTTTTAAAATTAAGCAATTCACCCCCTCTCTTGTACTTTCAATTGGTATCAGAGCTAGTCTCACACTTTTTGCTTAACAACTTGTGAGAAAAGATTAATGGCAAATCAAGTAATTGTTGGAGCAGTCTTTCAATAAGGAACATCGCAAGTTAGGCCACCGTAGTTCAATGGACAACACTTTTCTTACTGAAAAGTGTGTATGGAAATATACACAAAGTCCTATGACGTCAAAGTTTGGCGAGTTATCAAAAAGGAAAACTATCCACTACCAACAACTGCTCAACCACCTGCTGATCCAGAAGATATAGATGAATAC